TCCAAAGTATTTATTGCAGAAGGACTGGTAGTATGAGGAGATAAACCTGGTTTTGTGATAAACTGAAAATATGTATCCCATTACGTTCTGTACATGTTGAGCAAACGTCATCTTATCTGTCAGCTCTACTCATGGTACAGGAACAAACGATAGTGGTGAAAGAGCTATTTCATAATGTGCCTCTCCATGCATCGTCCAACGGACATTTAGCACAAGAGGGAGACCAAGATGGCGCGCTAGGAAAACTCCACCTCCAAAAGCCGGATCTGTCAGAACCAGGTCATATTTTGCTGTATGGAGTGAAGCAGAGCTGTCCTGTCTTTTTCAAAGATTTTCCCCATTAATACAAGTTGATTGTGAATGATGAATCTCTTCAAATACTGTTCCAACCTCTGAGGCCAGTGAGAGGTGAAGGAGGGATTCAGAATTAATTTCTGATCCAAAGTATTTATTGCAGAAGGACTGGTAGTATGAGGAGATAAACCTGGTTTTGTGATAAACTGAAAATATGTATCCCATTACGTTCTGTACATGTTGAGCAAACGTCATCTTATCTGTCAGCTCTACTCATGGTACAGGAACAAACGATAGTGGTGAAAGAGCTATTTCATAATGTGCCTCTCCATGCATCGTCCAACGGACATTTAGCACAAGAGGGAGACCAAGATGGCGCGCTAGGAAAACTCCACCTCCAAAAGCCGGATCTGTCAGAACCAGGTCATATTTTGCTGTATGGAGTGAAGCAGAGCTGTCCTGTCTTTTTCAAAGATTTTCCCCATTAATACAAGTTGATTGTGAATGATGAATCACTTCAGATACCGTTCCAACCTCTGAGGCCAGTGAGAGGTGGTCCAAAAGGACAGTTTCTCTCTTCTGATGACCAGGATATGTTTTGTAAATGCATCAAGCAGCTCCTTTTCAATGCCACCACTATTATAAACAGTGATGGAGGTATAGAAAGGAGACTCCTCCTTGATATACCAGCTGTTAGAGGCTCTAAGCAAGGTCACGTTGTGACCTCTTGTATGTAATTCCTCAATCAGTACCTTCATGTTCACCCAGTGACTTCCATCCGATGGATACACCAACACTTTACCTCCAAACACTTGAGATAATATGCTCAAGAATGGACTCTGGAGAAGGTTTTCGTCCAGGATATCCCTGTACTTGGCCACATTCATCTTTCCCTCGATTGCAACCAGTCGTCCTGTCCCTGCAGCTGAAAAACCCCCCCACAGCATGATGCTGCCACCACCATACTTCACTGTTGGGACTGTATTGGACAGGTGATGAGCAGTGCCTGGTTTTCTCCACACATACCGCTTAGAATTAAGGCCAAAAAGTTCTATCTTGGTCTCATCAGACCAGAGAATCTTATTTCTCACCATCTTGGAGTCCTTCAGGTGTTTTTTAGCAAACTCCATGCGGGCTTTCATGTGTCTTGCACTGAGGAGAGGCTTCCGTCGGGCCACTCTGCCATAAAGCCCTGACTGGTGGAGGGCTGCATAGAAGAACCCAAAGATCACTGTGGCTGAGCTCCAGAGATGCAGTCGGGAGATGGGAGAAAGTTGTAGAAAGTCAACCATCACTGCAGCCCTCCACCAGTCGGGGCTTTATGGCAGAGTGGCCCGACGGAAGCCTCTCCTCAGTGCAAGACACATGAAAGCCCGCATGGAGTTTGCTAAAAAACACCTGAAGGACTCCAAGATGGTGAGAAATAAGATTCTCTGGTCTGGTTTAGCTGGTTTGCACTGGAAGCAACATGTAGACAATATTTGGCATTGTGGGTCGTGGAAACTCAAAAGTGAAATAATTTCTCATGAGCCATATATCTGCATTCTGGAGGAGGGAGAAGACATCATCATTGGGGCCTAAATATTTCTGGGAGAACTTGTGATAATGATAACCAAAGAATTTTGGATTTTGATAGATAAAAATAATTTAAACCATCACATTCTTGACTCTTTGACTGAATGTAATTTTGTCGGTTAGTTGTAATGCTGGTATAGGTATATATGAGAGAGGAGATGGAGCCACAAGAGTGACCTTCTCCATACATGGTCCAAACGAACATTTAGCACAAGAGGGAGGCCAAGACAGTGTGCCAGTAACACTCCAGCTCCAAAAGCAGGATCCGTGAGAGCAAGGTCAAATTTACCATCCTCCAGTGAATTCATCAAGGTCTCATTTTCAAATAACATGGCTGTCATATTGCATACTTGCTGATGAACTTCTGAAAAACTGCTAAAAATCTCTTGTCCGATTTCTATTTCAGACCAAAATGATTTTCCGTGTCTCTTTATTTGCAATAACCAGGGAAGCAACGTCATCCAAAAGTCATTGTCAAATTTGCCAATGTCTACAGTAATGGAGATGTAGTAAGGAGACTCCTCTTCAATATACCAGCTATTTAAGCCTCGGACCACAGTGATATTGTGACCTTTTGAATGTAACTCCACAATAAGGACTTTCATATTGATCCAGTGGCTTCCATCTGCAGGGACAACCAGAACTTTACCACAATAGGATCCTGATAGAGCAGATAACAGAACACACACACAAACCGAAAAGGGTGGAGTGATGCATCTTCATTGATTACCTTAAATGAAAAATAATAATATCTATATTAATGTATTGTAGAATAAATGGTATTTCACTTCTATTTCAGACCAAAATGATTTTCCGTGTCTCTTTATTTGCAATAACCAGGGAAGCAACGTCATCCAAAAGTCATTGTCAAATTTGCCAATGTCTACAGTAATGGAGATGTAGTAAGGAGACTCCTCTTCAATATACCAGCTATTTAAGCCTCGGACCACAGTGATATTGTGACCTTTTGAATGTAACTCCACAATAAGGACTTTCATATTGATCCAGTGGCTTCCATCTGCAGGGACAACCAGAACTTTACCACAATAGGATCCTGATAGAGCAGATAACAGAACAAACACACAAACCGAAAAGGGTGGAGTGATGCATCTTCATTGATTACCTTAAATGAAAAATAATAATATCTATATTAATGTATTGTAGAATAAATGGTATTTCAGAAATTACAATGATAAAGACAATCTGCATTACTGTCTAGAAATATAATGGAATTGAGTGTTAAATATAATGTTTCACCTCGATTTTCTACTACTCTATGGCCAAACAGTGCAAAATTGGACAGTTATTCAGGAATATTAAATAATATTAACTCATTCCTTGGCATCAAGAAATGCAGCTTCAATAATAAGGTTAGTTGTTATATCTGCAAATCACTGTAGTTTGCATCACTGACAGATTTTACACAGTCACACTATGTACAAAAGTCAAGGTGTGATAACGTACACATGATCAGATGTCTCTTTATTGTATTGTGCTTATATTACTTTGTCAGATAAGGCTTCAGCGATAGCTAATACAGAGAGGTCATTCACAGTTCTGCTGACTCAATCATAACACATAGATGAAATTAATTATAATGTAGGAGATGGATTTTAGCCCTTGTACTATCTGTGACTAATATTTGGCTATAGCAAGTCCTAATACTATGGATTGTTCTACACCAAAAGCAAAGAATTTAAAATACTTAAAGATTCACGAAAGCACATGCTGTCAGGAAATAATCAAACTAAAGTAAACATCACAAAATAACTGATATTTCCAGCCAGTACTTCACTCACATTTTACTTTCTTTCTGAATAAAACCATACAAAAATATCTCATTATATAAGCAGTCACAAATGCAAATATCAAAAGGGTCGCCAATAAAGTCATAATAACATCTATAGAGTGGTACTCAATCCAGGACATTCTGAAAGACTGTGCTCGTAAATGAGGAGCTCCTCTGTTCCTCATGACAAACTCAATCCAGAAGACAGCACGATCAAGAGGTTTCATTGGCTGGTCATGGTGCAGCTTGGATAGTCTCTGCATGTTCTCCTTGTAAGATGGGTTATGCAACACCTCCATTAATGCCTCTAGAAACACAGTACTGTCTAAAGTTGTAATATCTACAATTTTTGCTGTTCCTTTTGCTTGCATCCTGGAGAGATTGTCAGGTTGGTCAAAAGCTAAAGGAAGGCCCACAATAGGCACTCCATGGTAGATGGCTTCCTGAACTCCATTGGTGCCTCCATGTGCTACAAACAGTTTAGTTTGAGGATGTCCGAGCAGGTCATTCTGGGGGAGCCAGTCCACAATCAGAGTATTGTTACCAAGATTGGCAGGTTTCGGTCCTGTGTGTCTCCAAATAACCTTTTGAGGCAGTTGGGCAAAAACTGCAGCAATCTCATCATTGATTTCACTCAGAAGCTGACCAAAAACAGTTCCTAAAGACATGATGATGACCCCATGCTCTCCTGAGCTCTGCACAAAATTCTCAAGTTCATCTGGAAGTGGCTTAGCTGGTTTGCACTGGAAGCCGCCCATATAGACAACATTTGGCATTGTGGGTCGTGGAAACTCAAAAGTAAAATCATTTCTCATGAGCCAGATATCTGCATTCTGGAGGAGGGAGAAGAAATCAACATTGGGGCCAAAATACTTCTGGGAGAACTCTTGGTAAGGAGAACCATAGTACTTGGAATGCTTATAAAGAGTCAATATATATGTCAACACATTCATGACTCTCTGACTCAATGTCATCTTGTCGGTAAGCTGTAACCCTGTAACAGGTATATATGAGACAGGAGATGGAGCAATATCAAAATGGGCTTCGCCGTACATAGTCCACCGGACATTAAACACAAGAGGAAGGCCAAGACGGTGTGCCAGTAACACTCCACCTCCAAAAGCAGGATCCGTAAGAACAAGATCATATGCAGTATCTTTCAGAAAATTCATCAAGGTTTCATTTTCAAACATGGCAGCTGTCATATTGCATATTTGCTGATGAAACTCCATACATTTCCTATAAACTTCATCAGCAAGTGCCATGTCATTCCAAAATGATCTACCCATACTTGGGCAGACAAAAGCTTAACCAAAACTGATAAAGAGAAGCCTCTATTGTATCAGGTCACAATACAATTATTTATTGAACACTAACAGCCAAAAATGCAGCTTCAAACAGTTGATACAAAATTACCAACAAATCAAAGGGAATACTGAATTGGCTTTGGATTGCACTTTCTGTCTCATGCTTTGGATTATTATGATTATTATGTTTACATTTAGAATCAAGAGACACTAATAATAAAAAAAAAACTTCAGATTTCCAGAAAAACACATGCTATCACAATCAGAAGACATAGATGCCATTTCCTGCCTGTGCATCACTCATGTTTTATTTTATTTTGATACAAACTCTATAAAGATATCTAATTACATACACAATGACAAAGGCAAAAGTGAAAAGTGTCGCCATTAAAGTCAAAATAACATCTATAGAGTGGTACTCAATCCAGGACATTCTGAAAGACTGTGTTCGTAAATGAGGAGCTCCTCTATTCCTCATGACAAACTCAATCCAGAAGACAGCACGATCAAGAGGTTTCATTGGCTGGTCATGGTGCAGCTTGGATAGTCTCTGCGTGTTCTCCTTGTAAGATGGGTTATGCAAAACCTCCTTTAATGCCTCTAGAAACACAGTACTGTCTAAAGTTGCAAAATCTAAAATTTTTGCTGTTCCTTTTGCTTGCATCCTGGAGAGATTGTCAGGTTGGTCAAAAGCTAAAGGAAGGCCCACAATAGGCACTCCATGGTAGATGGCTTCCTGAACTCCATTGGTGCCTCCATGTGCTACAAACAGTTTAGTTTGAGGATGTCTAAAGACAATTTAAAAAGACTAAGGACAGACTTTTAAACTACATGTAAACACAGTTAGTGACTCGATCATGAAGTCGGAGAAGTTCACCAATATTTACCTCTACTGAGGCTACCAACCATAAATGCAGTTCCAAACAGTCATTATGAAATTCAGTAAATTCCTGATAATTAATTTGCTGTGAATTATCATTTTAATTTCACTGAAAAGTTGTTTTACAAATCCAACAAGAATATTTTTTAACAATGAATTCCCACAATAGTAATTTCTATCATGCACGTTTAACCTTTTTTTTATAATGCCTCTAGAAACACAGTACTGTCTAAAGTTGCAAAATCTAAAATTTTTGCTGTTCCTTTTGCTTGCATCCTGGAGAGATTGTCAGGTTGGTCAAAAGCTAAAGGAAGGCCCACAATAGGCACTCCATGGTAGATGGCTTCCTGAACTCCATTGGTGCCTCCATGTGCTACAAACAGTTTAGTTTGAGGATGTCCGAGCAGGTCATTCTGGGGGAGCCAGTCCACAATCAGAGTATTGTTACCAAGATTGGCAGGTTTCGGTCCTGTGTGTCTCCAAATAACCTTTTGAGGCAGTTGGGCAAAAGCTGCAGCAATCTCATCATTGATTTCACTCAGAAGCTGACCAAAAACAGTTCCTAAAGACATGATGATGACCCCATGCTCTCCTGAGCTCTGCACAAACTTCTCAAGTTCATCTGGAAGTGGCTTAGCTGGTTTGCACTGGAAGCCGCCCATGTAGACAACATTTGGCTTTGTGGGTCATGGGAACCAAAGTACTTGGAATGCTTATAAAAAAACACCAAATATGTCAACACGTTTCTTACTCTCTTACTGAATGTCATCTTGTCAGTTAGCTGTAACCCTGTAACAGGAATATATGAGAGAGGAGATGGAGCTACAACAAAGTGACCTTCACCGTACATGGTCCAGCGCACATTAAACACAAGAGGGAGGCCAAGGCGGTGCGCCAGTAACACTCCAGCTCCAAAAGCAGGATCCATAAGTACAATATCATGTGTAGCATCTTTTAATGAATTCATTAAGATCTCATTTTCAAACATTGTAGCTGTCATATTGCATATTTGCTGTTGAATTTCTCTAAATCTGCTATAAAACTCTTCAGCAAGTGCCATTTCATTCCAAAATGATCTTCCTTGTCTCTGGATCTGGAGTAAACGGGGTAGAAAGTTCACTATAAAGTCATCGTCATGCTTTCCAGTGTCTACAGTAATAGAAGTGTAGAGAGGAGACTGTTCCTCAATGTACCAGCTTCTAGAACCTCGGACCACTGTGATATTGTGACCTTTTGAATGTAACGCCACAATAAGGACCTTCATATTGATCCAGTGGCTTCCATCCGCAGGGACGACCAGATCTTTACCAGCGTTACATCCTGACAGAGCAGATAACAGGATGAACAAACCAAGAAGGGTGGAGTAATGCATTTTCATTCACAACCTTCAATAAGAAAGAATATAATCTGAATTAATATGGCATAGAGTAAATTATATTTCACAACATTTCCATTTGTTTCTAAAAATATGATGGAATTACACATTCAGTCTGTAATATTTCAGTTAGTTCTGTACAGTTCTTAAAACGTTGTACAATTGGATCGCCTCTGTCTTTTGGATGTGCTCAACACCAATGCCATTTGTAATATGATTAATATTAGATGAAGCCAATTTAACATTACATTACAATTAATAATGGCATTATTTAGGTTTCTTACTGCAACTTTGCAGAAATCAGACGGGTACAATTTCTGTTTAAAGACAATTTAAAAAGACTAAGGACAGACTTTTAAACTACATGTAAACACAGTTAGTGACTCGATCATGAAGTCGGAGAAGTTCACCAATATTTACCTCTACTGAGGCTACCAACCATAAATGCAGTTCCAAACAGTCATACAGTCACATTGTGACCTCTGCTATGCAGTTCCTCGATCAGGACCTTCATGTTGACCCAGTGACTTCCGTCTAGTGGAAACACCAGCACTTTACCGCCGTCTATTCCAGATAATATGCATAACAGCGACAACAAACTGAGAGGTGCTGAACGGAGCATCTTCGTACACAACCTTTAAACACAAAACAAAATATGTCAGTGAATGGTTATAGAAGAAGTAAAGGGGTCATGAACTGAGAAGTCAACTTTCCCTTGATCCTTTGACTTATAAGAGGTCATTGTACTATAATAACATCTGGTAAATTTCAGAACACAAACTTTCTCGTTAGTCTAAAAACAGCTTATATTGAAGCCAATCTGCCAAAATGATAGGTTGTGGAATGTGCCCTTCTATGAGGCAATAATATGGCTAAACACAGCCTCTGCAGAAAATCAACGCCCGCTTCTACATCGCTGCCTGTTTAGCCCCGCCCACCGACTCGCACATGTAGTGTAAATAACGAGAGGCAAACGCACAGATCTACGCAGAAACCAAACAATAAAGATGCGCCGAAAACGATGGACAGATCGTTAACGGCTTGTCTTTGGTAATACAGTACATCGGGCAGACATCCAAACGCTCGCCTATCATTCATCAACCTCAAATATGGCTTATCATCTGAAATGTGTAAGAATTAACAACTTTATATGGCCGCTCAATCTAATGTTAACCTAGAAAAATGTGTGCTGTTCAGGTGTCTGTGTTGAGTGTATAAGCATGCTCACTGCACGACAGATGGAGGCACCGGAGTGCTCACTTGCTCTTAAAATAGGCTACTCTGTCATTTTTGTTCATACAGATAAGAGTAATACATAGGACTCTACATTTATTTGTGTGCACTCACAATAACAACAAAACAGCTTTCCCTGTCAAACTAATAAAAAAATCTAAATATCAGGTCGGGTCGGGAAATGTTGAGACTGTCGAGTTCCGACGCCCCTCCGCGCCACAGCAATGTAGCACACATTGATCGGCACATGCGCATCAGGCAGAGAGCCGCAGAAGTGAAGCCCTCCCTCCCTTTCCAGTTGTGTTTGTCTTGGTGTGGAGGTGAGTGGTGATGAACAAAAGACTAAAGCTTAGACTAAAAGCTACCTGTGCCTCGAATTTACAGCTAATTACCCAAAAGACAAAAGGCAATTAATTTGTCTTGCTAACATCCACGACTCATGAGAGCTACATGATTCCGTTCACTGCATGATTTGGTTTATTAAAATGCATTTAGAATGATCACAAAATTCAAGATATGGGGGCAGAAATGTATATATTTATATCATTTCATATAGTTAATCAGTATCACGCGAAGACTGACGTTTTTTCCACCAAAAAGCAGCATGATTACAAATGTGATATTGATTTTATACAGCAGTTCAATAAACAAGAATTTAATATTGACTGTTTTTGCTCTATTTTGCCAACCAATATAACTCCAATTTGCATCTCTGAGCAACATGATGGTGTTTCGTTCCTGAATGAATCAACAGTTTAAATGATTCGGTTCAGTCGCAATGACTCACTTATTAACCGTGACTTGCTGCCACCTACTGGCAGTTTTAATTTCACATTTAAAGTATCTTTTCATTTAAAAAAAAATAATTTCAAATATCAGTATTCAACGTTTCATGTTTAAAATATCAAAACAGTATGAATGCATTTGTAACTGCAGGTTAAATACATTCATGTCCTGCATTAAACCGTGTGTAAATGCATCTAAATGCCCCTTCTAATGCAGCTTCTGTTTTCTCTGCATTGCAAAGATGGATTTTGTCAATACTGATTTCATTTAAAAGGTAAAAATCTGTTTAAACTTATTGGAAAAGATTAATTTCCATCACTGCTGTGAACTGATCACCACACAGAATATGAAGAATATCAAAAATTTTAGGAGTCAGCTGTCCACTGCAGTCCTTAAGATATCAGCACAATAACACACTCAGCAAAATATCATCTAATTATCGTTATCAATAAAATCCCAGAAAATATTGAGATATATTTTTGTCAATATCGCACACCCCTAATATATTTAACGGTTTGATTAGATTATTTTTTTTAAATAAATAAATAAATATGAGAAGTGCCCTTTTTTCCACTTGAGCCCCTGCCTCTCAAAATGTCTGTGCACGTCCCTTGCTGGATTAATGATGCAGGACCTTCAGAAAGACTGAAACTAAAAGACGATGCTGTGCTGACTGTATTGGATTCAACAGTAATGCCAGTAATCGCAACACAAGTGTGAGTAACTGTTTTTATTATGTGGTCACCATTGCTTTGTGTGTTATTATAGCTCATTTGATATGTACTGAGTATTAATGTGTTTTTAACATAAATCACAGCAGCGTCTATCTGTGAATGATGTAGGCTGTCAAACATACACAGATGTTAGCCAATCATAGCAGTGGGCGTTTACTTATAATCCGCCACACCTATTCAAACTGAGCAATCTGATGAGGGGGGTCAAAACAAAGGCAGTTCATGACCCCTTTGAGGAAAACAAAAGAGAAAAGTCAATAAAAAACAAAAGGCAGCTTTTTTACATTATAATTGGATACCACTGACAGCAATGATTACGATACTTGCTTATGCTTATTTGCTTTTATGGAGCTGTCATGGTCTTGTGTAGAAAGACTTTTGACATGCAGCATAATGTCTGGTCCATATATTTGTCTAGTAGGTACTGAATATTTCACTTAGAAAACAGTTAAATATACAGTTCTGATTGTATCTGGTTTATTTGCTATACCAAGTGCCTTAAACTAAATTTTGCATATTTTACAATGACTTGATTTAATTGTTCCTTATTAAGCAGTCATGGTATCAACCCTGTACCTACCCAAAAACAACTTGATTTACAGCAACACTTCATTTACAAAGCAGGCTAATGTACATATGTGTGGCACAATGTACACAATGTTTTCAGGAAAAAGTAAAAAGTTCTCACCTTGCACATGAGTAGTATCTGAATCGGCTTTCTATTTTTTTAGTAGTGTTATGTGCTGAGAGCTTCCTAAATATGTCAAAGTTAAGCAATACCTCACTACACATGCTGCGACATCTGTAAAAAAAAAGAAGCTCACAGTGCATGCTAAAACAATACCATTTCAATGTGTACATTCACCTCTCAAAGTAAAACATCACCTTCGTTTGCCATTTTCTGAAATGGTGGCACAATGTACACAATGTTTTCAGGAAAAAGTAAAAAGTTCTCACCTTGCACATGAGTAGTATCTGAATCGGCTTTCTATTTTTTTAGTAGTGTTATGTGCTGAGAGCTTCCTAAATATGTCAAAGTTAAGCAATACCTCACTACACATGCTGCGACATCTGTAAAAAAAAAAAGCTCACAGTGCATGCTAAAACAATACCATTTCAATGTGTACATTCACCTCTCAAAGTAAAACATCACCTTCGTTTGCCATTTTCTGAAATAAACAACATGCAATTTGGTTTTGAACCACATTTTCATGAGCAAAAACAAAAATGACAAAAAATGAAACCCTAATACCTGGATACTTAGGTTAATACAAATTGTACAGTCTGGAGAACTTCTGGAAAGTTGCTTCTATAATAATATAGAAGCAGTAAAAGGTCAAGATATTACACAATGAACTAAGAACAGAATGTAAATCTGAAATCTGGTCTATGGACTGACGATAAAAGAACTTATACATTGCCAGATCAAATCCTATTTTGAGAGAATTATATATTGATAATATTTCAAACCTTACCTGACAACCTCGAAATTCACCTCGGGACAGTGTAGAGTCCAAAACCTTTAGCGCATTTATCATGCAATGATTACGAGCTTTTTAAGTGCATTTAGGTGAAAGGTTCCTTTAAATGAATGAGCACAGCAAAAGCCTATC